CAAAACTTACCTCACATACATTCTCCCTGTCACCTAACACGTTTTTACAAAACTGACATAAAAGTTAAATTGTGTCCCAGTGTTTTATTTCTATAAGATAGTAATTCTATAATCACTAAAAGACTTCGCTATGTCTGTGGTAGTACATACTTGATCTGGATGATTTTATATCCAGTTAAGTGTCCACAATCAAAATAAATTTCTCTCTGATGCCTTGTGAACTCAAAAATACCTGTTAGTTGATATCCCTTTTTAATGTGGTGTTTAAAAACCAATATGAAGCCAAAACCGGTTTGGCTCAGTGGATAGAGCGTTTGCCTGTGGACTGAAAGGTCCCAGGTTCGATTCCGGTCAAGGACATGTACCTTGGTTGCAGGCACATCCCCTACTGGGGTGTGCAAGAAGCAGCTGATCGATGATTCTCTCTCATCGATGTTTCTAACTCTCTATCCCTCTCTCTTCCTCTCTGTAAAAAATAAATAAAAAATATATTAAAAAAAACAATATGAAGAGGAAGAGGGGATATGGGGGGAGGTAGGAGAAAGTAAAAGGGGAAATAAATAGTGATGGAAGGAGACTTGACTTAGGATGGTAAATACACAATACAATATATAGATGATGTAGTATAAAATTGTACACCTGAAACCTGTATAATTTTATTAACTAATATCACCCCAATAAATTCAATTAAAAAAAAAATAAACTCTTGCCCTAACCGGTTTGGCTCAGTAGATAGAGTGTCAGCCTGCGGACTGAAACGTCCCAGGTTCAATTCCATGTATCTGCAAGCTGTGGTTTGCCGACCCCGGCCCTAGATGTATTGGTAAACATTGCTACGAAGAGATGTCTCAGATTTTGGTGCCTATGATGTCTCTAAGATTTTTATGATTTCACGACTTACATTTAAGTCATTTACCCATATTGAGTTTATTCCTGTGTGTGGTGTAAGTTGGTGGTCTAGTTTCATTTTTTTTTACATGTATCTGTCCAATTTTCCCAGCACCATTTATTGAAGAGACTGTCTTTATGCCATTGTATGCTCTTGCCTCCTTTGTCAAGTATTAATTGAGCATAATTATGCCTATGTATTTTTTTAAAAATATATTTTATTGATTTTGTACAGAGAGGAAGGGAGGAGATAGCTAGAAACATCGATGAGAGAGAGTCATCGATCAGCTGCGTCTTGCACACCCCCTACTGGGGATGTGCCCGCAACCAAGGTACATGCCCTTGACCGGAATTGAACCCGGGTCCCTTCAGTCCCCAAGCCGACGCTCTATCCATTGAGCCAAACCGGTCTCGGCATGCCTATGTATTTTTAATATCCACATTGGTGTAGATTCTGTTGACGGCCCACCTAGACCCTTCTTACAGGCTGGTGCACCCACAGCCCAGCGGCAGTGGGTGTTGGCTGCTAACAGCTCCTGCCTCCACCTTATTTGGAGGATCGCCCTTAGCCGAGCAGAGGCACCTAGCTCCCCTCCCGCTCTCCTTCCCCCACTGCAGAGAGTAATGACTACCTCATGTGGGAGCATAGCAGCTCAGCCTCTCAGCTCTGGGCAGGATAATGTATGGGATCCAGTCCATAGTGCAGAATACACTGTAGGGTCAGGCTGTGGCTGGAATTCAGAAACCTCTTCTTCCCCTACCTGATCCTGAATCCGGATCCGGATCCCACTACACATTTCCCCTAAGAGCACTCCCTCAATAAGTCAGTCACCTGCCCAGGAATCCCTAGCTAGGTGTGACTATGAAGGAACTGATCTGAGACGCATTTTATAGATGAGAAAACTTGAGACGAACAGAAGTAAAATTATGTTCCTAATGCAATGTGGTCGGCAAACTGTTGACAGAGTTTGCCGACCCCTGCGATAGGGGCTAAATCACAAGGAACAACAGCTTGTAATTATTGGAATCGAGAGTCTAGGTCAGTGGTCGGCAAACTCATTAGTCAACAGAGCCACAGTTTGCTGACCACTGGCCTAAGGGAAAGCTGAAATTTGAAGCCAGCCTGGCTCCTGAACCTGCACTTTTTCACCATACTGTAATGGCCACCTGCCCAACGTCTTCTGGCCACTCATTCTCTCTACCCTAGTTAATTCCTGCCTCAGAGCCTCTGAACTTCCTATTTTCTATTACTGTATTTCCTCTCATTGTGGCTTACTTCCTTGCTTATGTAAAACTTGAGGCCAGTGCGTGAAGTTCATCCTCGGGTGTGATCCCTAGGCTTGGACAGTGATCAGGGCCTATGGGGGTCGCTAAGCCTGGACAGTGATCAGGGCCCATCAGGATCAGGGCCCATCAGGGCCCATCAGGATCAGGGCCCATCAGGGCCCATCAGGATCAGGGCCCATCAGGGCCTTCCCCCTCCCCCCCTCTCTCCCTCTCTCTCAATTATATATATATAATTGAGAGAGAGAGAGGCGCCCAGTGCATGAAAATGTTAACTCTGGGGGAGGGGAGGTCCCTCAGCTCGATCCACGCTTTCTCAGTCCCAGGGGATGTCCTACTGATGGCTTAGGTCCATTTCCCATACTGCAGTCTGCCCTCCCTCTGCTGGAGGTGACTGGGCAGCTGATCAGGGGATGGTGCCAGCCAACATGGCCCTGCCCCCTCTCCCCCTCTCCCATTGCCATCCCCTCCCTCTGCCTGCTGGCATGCACCTAAGCTGGCCTGGCACTGCCTGCTCGCTGGCTCCACTGACTGGTTGTTCTGTTGTTTGGTCGATTTGCATATTATGTTTTTATTATATAGAATGTTACAATTATATCCTTGAAGAGAATTTTCCTGGCCTCAACCATCTTACCTAACAAAGCAACACTATTTATAACCCTGCTTTAGTTTTTTTTTTTTTTTTTTTAAATATATTTTATTGATATTTTAGAGGAGAGAGGGATACAAAGTTAGAAACATCGATGAGAATCACCGATTAGCTGCCTCTTGCACACCCCCTACTGGAGATGTGCCCGCAACCACGGTACATGCCCTTGACCGGAATCAAACCTGGGACCTTTCAGTACACAGGCCGACGCTCTATCCATTGAGCCAAAACTGTTTCGGCCCCTGCTTTAGTTTTATTATAGCATTTAATATCTGATATTTTATTATGCTTGTATTTGTGTTTTCAGCACTCACAATAAAATGCAAGTTCCCTAAGGGCAGGAAAGTTGGCTTATTTATTGCTATATCCTCAATGCATGGTAATATACCTGGTACAGAGCAGGAGCGCAATAACTATTTGTTGAAGGGAAATGAATTTTTTTTTTTTAATATATTTTATTGATTTTTCACAGAGAGGAAGGGAGAGAGACAGAGAGCTAGAAATATCGATGAGAGAGAAACATAGATCAGCTGCCTCCTGCACACCCCCTACTGGGGATGTGGCTGCAACCAAGGCACATGCCCTTGACCGGAATCGAACCTGGAACCTTTCAGTCCACAGGCCGACGCTCTACCACTGAGCCAAACCGGTTTCGGCAGGAAATGAATTCTTGTCTCAGAACTCTTATAGAACTTTGTAAAAATCTTCTTACATGTTTTAAACTAAGAACATAGTTATTTTCTGTTTATTTATTCTGCAAGCATATATGATCTTAAAGGACAGAAACTATGTTTTATTAATTTGGGGTTCATAGGAGGTATTCAAATAATGACACTACCTCTAAAACTCCAAATATCAACTGCAGCTTATCTTTCCATAGTGACTAATGTCAGAATTTTATATTATAGTATAATCATAGTATGAAAAAATACATCACATTTAATTTATAAAGTATATCTGGGCGTGTTATAAGAAATTATAGTAAATATAACTAGGTACTTATCATTTTACCTTTATTTTTAAAACAATGCCATTTTCAAAATATAAAAAATAGACTTATTTTCAAAGAACTATTAAATATAGATTTCAAAATCACAATATTTTATTTACAACAAATAGATGGTAGTGCAAAAGCCGTCATGGGTGTTTATGATAAATAAAAATATTAGCATTATTCTGGCATCATTTTTGGGGCAGAACTTTATATTTATAGATATTTACAATGACTCATAAAGTAAAACCAATAATGACCATTAATGTAATTTGTATTTGAACCTGAATTTAAATAACCAATGTAGATTAGTCATTTATTTGGGATCTGGACCCATTTATACAAAAACTGAAGTAGGAAATTAAAGTTTCTCAGCTATATGCAGTGTGTCAACAAACACATCCTAGTGATTCCAGTATCTGTATAAATTGATCTATTTGCAACTCCAGAAAGTGATTTATATGCTATGAATCAGGGCTGACACATCTGGATTCCAGTTGATTTATAAAATTTAAAATACAGTAGGTACCCATGCTGAAAAATAGTGGGACCCAGGATTCCATTTTAATTTATAGAAGAACCTCTGGAAATAAAATCAATGGTGGAATGACAACAGATGTCAGATATTTGTCAAATTGGGAGAAGCACAGAACTTCTCAAATTTCTCTAGGTCACATATTCCAACGGAATTAAAACTAATGCACGTGTACAGCAATTTTGTTTTTCTCAGCAAAATCTCCCAATTCTGAAACGGTCTGGATTTGGGCACTATCTTTCCCATCCAATCCTCCAAGTGTAATCTACCCATGGAACAGTGAGGACATCCTTACAAGAAGCCATCTTCTGGCTGTCACAGAGGTCAATCCTAAAGCTAACCCAGGCCAATGAGTTCAGAGAACGGACATTCATCTAATCCATTTAGCAAATGCTGCAAAACAGCTTCTCCTTGAACAGTGGAGAAATCAGTGAACCCTCCACCTGGTGTCAGCTTCACTGCTGTGATCATGGCAGACACTTCAGGCAGAGGCAGCCAAGTACCACCTACACGGGGAAGGCGAAAGCAGAAAACATTGTGATTTTTTGGCTTCTGATGATTACAGACCCATTTTGTTTATGAGCTTTACGTTTCAAACACAAAGGAGCGTGTTGCTGCCCTGGGCAGATGTCCTGGACTTATCTTCTTTTTGCTCAATTCTTCCCTTCTCTAAGGTCAAATAAGAAATGTGACACGTTTTCATACACCACAAAGGTAATACAGCAGGCTGGAGTCACTCGAATCAAATTGGGAGCAATTCCTTTGTAAAATCCACCGATGCCTTCTTTCCTTTAGAGGGAAAAATAGACACATGCTTAGTTTCTAACGTAGCTAGGCTGCAGATACAAAAGTTTACTGACATGGGGCATGGAGCCAGCAAGCAAACATCACTGCGATACAAGTCCATGTTTTCAACACCCTGAAGTAATGTGGTTTATGAGCCATTTGAAGAGAGGACAGGGACCCCTCAAAACTTAACTGAAAAGTGCGGTTAACGATAACCATCTCTCAAATGCCTTTAAAGGTGTAACATGCAGGAGTATTAACTGATCTATCGTAGGCATTAAAAACCTCATATATTATATAAACGCAAGACAACAGTAAAGATAGCATATACCAGAATAAAACTTTATATCCTTTCTGCCTAAACTAGGAATACGGCCTTGGATCTTGTCACTGAGATTCTTGATAAATGTTTACCAAACTGAACTTAATTGAAACATGTTAAATTCTCTGTGCTGGCCTTTTAGAAGTAAAGATGAATATGAGGATGAATAGCTATAACAGTCTAACTATTCACACGCCGAAGAACAAGCTTTTCTTCCAGACACGGAGACTGGTGCAATAAGCCCTCATTTAATGCAGTCATGTTTAAATGAGTTCTGCAACTTTAAGTGAAATGATTTATCCCGAAACCAATTTTGCCATAGGCTGATGGATATAAACAAGAATAAAGATCCTATGGCACCTCATCGACATGATAATGAAACAAGATTATTCGAGGACCTGTTATATTTGCAAAAGCTATGGTGCCTATAGCAGGTGTGGGGCCTTCTTAATTGTACTAAACCAAGATTTTTAAGACTTCCTTGAATATAGGCCATTCAAATATTTTATGACATCTACATTTTATTTTATTTGTCAAAGCACTTTCACAGATCTCATCTGACTTTTATAATCACCTTGTCAGTCCAGATGTTCTAATTTTATAAATCAGGCCTTAGAGAGAGTAAATCCATGCTCCTATCAATATATGCAATAAATGGGAAGCACGCTGGCTTTTGCTGTAAAACTAATGTCAGCTGGACAGCCCGATTTGCAAGGCACCTCCTAAGAGCCATTGTGATACGCCACATGCTCTCACCTCCACGTCTTTGCGATAACATCCAACACACCCGTGTAAGACATGTGCTGATCCTGAAGACGCGCTCTCACAACTTGATATGGGTACGTTGCTGCTACAGCGAATATTTTGGACAGTGCGGCCACAGATATATATTCTACTGTGCTCTAAAGTGACAACACAGAAACATGTCTTTCTTTAGAGAGGATTTCTTTAAAAATATAAACATACAAATTACATAGGAAAACAAACATTTAAATAGATCTGAAGTGAAAAATACTATTTCCCCTCTTAACAGGTTTTGAGAATTAAGGGTTTCTATTTTTCTTTAAAATATTGTTTTTATTGCTTTCAGAGAGGAAGAGAGAGGAAGAGAGAGGGAGATAGAAACATCAATGACGAGAGAATCTTTAATCAACTGCATCCTGCATGTCCCCTACTAGGAATCGAGCCTGCAACTGGGCATGTGCCTTTGACCTGAATCAAACCTGGGACCCTTCAGTCCTCGGTTAACACTCTATCCACTTAGTCAAACCGGTTAGGGCTAAGGGTTTCTATATTTAACATTTGTGTGTCATTAGCCTATAAAATATTTAACTAAAAGTTAAATTAGTGACAGAGTCAGTACTCATCATCGCAACAATACTTTCAAAGTAAACATGACATCATTTCCATCTACTATATGCCCATAAAAGTAAATAATACATTTTTCCAGGAATCATCTTACCAGCTGGGCTTCTGGTAATCTATTGATATGCTGATTATATTTCAATTTCAACAATTCATATGTCATAAACTGAAGGGCACCATGTGATGTTCCAAACAGCCCAGGAACGAACCCCTAAAATGAAAAACACACACCATAAAACAATTAAAAAAAAAAAAAAAAAGAAAAAGCTAAACTAAGCAAATTCCCATAACACCACAGCTTCCGGGGAGGGCAGTAAAGGAATGGTGACCTCCATGTGTGACTTACGTGAAATGGTTACGCGACAAAGTTTTAGGCAATTCTCATTCTCACACCCACCCATGTTATGATCATACATCTTATGGGGACACACAGCTTACAGTACAATTCCAATGCTGTAAACTATATTTCACTTCCCGTTAAACTGTTTAGTGCCTAAGTTTGGCTTCTTTTTAGAACTGACCACAGCTCATTCAGATCGGGGACAACAGAGGCAAGGGAAATTGCAATGGTCAATCATCACAAATGTACTGATAATAGCTCGTTACCTTATACAAGCCACGCACACCTTCGTACTTATATATTTTCAGAAGTGTATCAAACATTCCTCGATACTGCCGCTGTTGGGCGTTAACACTCTCGTACTGTAACATAAGGCGAGTTTTTGCTACCCATAATGGGTTTGTAATGCAGAGAGTCATGGCTCCTGAAAGCAAGTTAGAATATGATTACTCAGCAAACAGGTATTTTACACAATGAGGCAATTACACAGGCAGCTAAATTATATAATTTGAAAAGTGAAATTATACTTTCATTAAAGGAACACTATACTGAATCATTTTAAACTAACTATTAGAAATGTATACTTTTTCTAAATTTTACTACCCGGTGACAAGGTCAGACCTTTGAAATCTATCCAGAGTAATCAATAAGAATACCTGCTTTTTAAGAAATTTCATGCGATCACTGATTAGCATGATTAGATAAGCACATTTAACCTCTTGTATTCAAAGGTAAAAAGGCAAATAAAATAATGGTGAAAATATGACATTTTAAACTTCACACTGTCTTACCAGCTTGGGCAGCTGAGACAAGGTATTCTGTTGCCTCTAACCTCTCAGCTCTTCCTTCTGTCTTGTATGATTTGATGGCATTGTAACTAAAAGAAAAAAAACATAAAACATCAATATTTCAATAGGTGTTATAAAGCAGTCGAGTCTGTTTTAAATCGGTGTGGCCCTAGTCAGTTTGCTCAGTGGTTGGAGCACTGGCCCATGAACTGAAGGGTCCTGGGTTCGATTCCAGTCAAAAGTATGTACCTCGGTTGCAGACTCAATCCCGGGGCCTGGTAAGAGGCAACCAATTGATGTGTCTCTCTCATATTGATGTTTCTCTCTTTCTGTCTCTCCCCTTCCCTTCCACTCTGCTAGAAATCACTGGAAAAATATCCTTGGGTGAGGATAAACAACAAAATCATAATAGTAAATAATAAAATAAAATGGCATGTAACTTAACTAAGCCAATGCATAATGCAGCCACAAATTGAGACCTTTTTCAAGAATGAATTAACTGGAATGGTTTACTGTTAAGATTATGCCTCTCCTTCCCCCAAATAAAAATGAGTAGCTATATATATATATATATATATATTTTTTTTTTTTTAATGATACACTTTTCAATAAAAATGGCAGGGAAAACTATGAGGGGTGGGGGAAAGTGCAGAGGTGGTACAGTGATTGGGTAGAGAAGGCAAAAGAGACCAAGAAAGGTTCCTAACAAATATGTGCTAAACACCTATGTTCAGGTACTATGGTTGTCAAGTCTAGTAGATACGTGTTCCTGAGCAGGGAAGTCAAGTGGGCCTATTTTCTCTAACTCCGATTTCCACTTTCTCTTGAGAAAAGATTTCAGTGAAATAACTCTCCAAGGGTTAACAATACCATTCTAACATGAAACAAGTATACTGTCTCAACAGATAAACCTTATATGGCTTGTTCTTAGAAACTCTCTTTGGAGAACCTATATAACTCCGAAATTCCTAATAACATGAATTTTATGCATGTAGTTTCACTCTTCGAAGTATGTCTTAGAGATGAAAAAAAAAAGTAAACAATACAAACGCTGAATTTTATTTTGCTTTCACTAAAGCAGCACATGCTCCTTCACTGCAGGAGTGCCCAGGCTTTCGCACACTCAGCAGGCAGGCTGCGCCTGCCACGGGTGCTTCTGGTGGCTTCCTCGGTGAGCATGCAATAGCAGTTCTTTCAAATGTGATGCTATCTTACAGGTGAGGGATAAAGGAAATGAATGAGCTGGGAAGATAATGAAGTAGGTCAAATAAGAGGTAAGAAGGAACATGACTCAAACTCTTTCAACTAAGCACTGGCTTTTGCTTTCTGTCCTCAGCAGGGGCTTTCCTGTGGTACATGTTCTTACAGGAGTCCCAAGATCTGTTCTCGTCTGCTCTTCCAACTTCATTATGAACCATAATGTATTTTGGTAAGCCGTTTTCCTGAATTCTTCTCACAGAAATTGCTTCTCTAAGAGTGTTTCTCCATTTCATCTCTTTGCCTTCTTCTTTCCTAGTAAGAACTTCCTTCCAGACCAAATGCCTCCGTTAGCTAGAGCTAACAGAGAATCAAACAAGCCATTCTGTTCCTTCTGACCTTCTAATTCAGACAAACTGATTAAATGACTCATCTTGTTTTATTAACTGATACAGATCTACTCACAAGAAAAAGTAGAGTCCCCAGGATAAACCTGCACCCCACACATTTGGGGTGACTCCTTGGTAAAGTCCCCGTAATCCATCAATTTTCCAAATGGTAGTCAAGCAATGCACAATTCCTTTATATTTCGGTCTCAGCTCCAATCCATCACTCACTGCAGTAAAAGAGGCACAAAGTCAGGTGAGAGCAGAGTTCAAGTTCTGAATCACATATGAACATAGTTGTCACACATTCATATAAAGGAGATAAATTCAGAAGAAAAATGTATTCAGGTAGAGGAAATTATTTTCCAGGATTATTTAATATTTTTAAAAACACATTCATGAATTTATTCATGTTTTTATTGAGGGCATATTGAGCATTCAAATAAAACTCCCACATGAGTTTTCTAAATACATCAGGCTCGCCCCCACTCCTCCATCCTCCCACCAAGCTAAACTATTATACTTCTTAGGTGAAATAATTTCTAATTTTTCTACTACTCTGGCCATCTTTGAGTTTTAACTCGCACTTGACTCACGGAAATAGTCCAGATTTGACTTAATGGTACATCCAAGACTGACACACCCTGTCACTAGATACTATAATTTTATTATAAGGGTTAATTCTACAAAAGCATAAAAACTACAGTATTAATGTTGACGGCCAACCAACTGTTTTGATTTCACTTATCCATTTTGCCAAAATTTCCTCTTTTTCTAACACCATTTCACATACTGTGGGCTTTGTTATTACAAAGTGCTGTTGTATCTCCCAGATCTTTAATTTTGTCCTTTCACCCAACTTCAAAGGCCTTATCTGTCACCCCAGCCCGATTACTCTCCCCATTTCATCAAGATTACCAATCTTCTCAGATACCAAGAATTCCTTTTCCTCAGGCACGGAACTGAACGCTTATCACACACTCTTAAACTCACTAGGCAAACCACACAGTTCCTCAATCATTATCTCCACTGACATCTCTTCTGTTCCTAAGCAAAAAAATTGCAGTAAACACCAAATCAGATAGGCCAGCGCCCTTAGCCAAATCCAAATTTCTTCATGTACAAGCCACTGTCTACTAGGGATTCTTGGATTAGTAGTATGGTGAGTGGTTAAGTGCCACAGGGTTTTAGATCCCAGCTCCTTTACAAATGTGTGGCTTGGGCAAATTGGTCTACTTCTATCATCCTTGTCTGTATAATGTGGAAAATAAATTCACAGGGCTGTTCAGAGCCGTCAGTGAGATAATGCACAGTTCACTGTCTTGCTCCTAGTAAACTGCTCAATGAATGTTGTCATAATTTATTTGTGCATGCCTCATATACTCCATGGGAATTATATGCCTCTGCGGTTTTCTCCAAAGGATAATACTTCATAATTTTCACTGTTTTTTTCCTTCATAGAATGGCTCCTTACTTCCTGCTCAACTTTCAAAATATCAGTCCTTCTGGAGGAACCTTAAGATCTAATGGGACCTTTGCAGATATAGATACATATGGCTATCAGCAATCTCTGTATCTTTAAAAATATATTCTTATTAATTTCAGAGAAGAAGGGAGAAACATCAATGATGAGAAAGAATCATTGATCAGCTGCCTCCTGCACGCCCCCTACTGGGGATGAAGCCTACAACTCAGGCATGTGCCCTTGATGGGGAATCAAACCAGGGACCCTTCAGTCCACAGGCCCCCCAGTGGCATCAACAACCCTGAAAGAGCACACCCTCCAGAAGCAGAAAGCAGACCCCCTCCAAAGAATAATTCCTTACAAGAACAGGAGAGACAATGATCAAAATCTCTCCGATGAGACAAGGGTGGCCAACAAAACACATACAATTCACACTGTTGTTCTAAAGTGTTTCAGGGCTCTGAGGACACTTCATACGTTCTGATATCTCTGCTTAAATCCTTTGCTTCACCTTCCTAGTTCTTATTCTATCATTCTCTGAGGGTCACTGTAATCTTCTTCTATAATAATAAAAGTGCAATATGCAAATCGACCGAACGGCCAAACAACAAAATGACCTACCGACCAGTCCACCATGCTATGGCACATGCTGGCGCCAGGCCAGCCAAGGTAGGTGCGATGCAATGGGCGAGGGGGCCCTGCCATCGCCCCTTGAGCACCCCACAGAGGAAGGTCCAGGCCACTGGCGGGCGGGTGATCAATGGAGGGAGAAGGGAGGGTGGCTATGGGCTCGGCAGCCTCAGGCCAAGGCAGATAAGGGCGGGGGCAGGGCCGGCAGCCAAAGGGAAGCCTGGTGCCAGGTGCTGGGGAGGAAAGGCCTGCCCTTACACGATTTCCGTGCATCAGGCCTCTAGTCCTAAAACAGTTCCCAGGGATTCCCTTTCTGCCCCTGCTGGGACCCTGACCTACCTTCTAACTAATCTCGTGAAGCCTTACGAACTTACAAGGCCAGGAGAGTTTTACGACTCTTAGGTGACAGGACCTTCAAAACTGCCCTCCGGAATCACTGAAAAACTTAACCACAGAACAAGCTCTCTCATTTGCACCGTAGATTCGGACAAATTCCTTCAAGGAGATTTCCAGGATTGCACATACCGGGAAATCCAGTTATACCTGGAGTCCTCTTTTACGATGAAAACCTGCCGCAGCCTTGAACTCCTCCCCTTAGCATCTCCCCTCCTGCCAATCCTTGCACGGCAGGAGAAGGGATGGTCATTCCCCAGCGGACACCTCCAGAACCACCGTGGCAGGGGGAATGCCTGACTGGGTGCTGGGCATGTCATCCTAACCAGAAACCCCCAGAACACCCAACCCTCCTGGCCTGTATCTAAGGACGCCTGGATTAAGGCTCTGACCTCTTCCCTCCCAGGTAGGTGGGAGAAAATCCCTCAGATCCTCTCTCACAGGGATGTTTCCTTCCCTCCCTATCTAAAATCAATAAACACACCTTCCCCTGGGGATTAAGAAAAAAAAAAAAAGCACGTGGCTTCTACCTACCTACCTGTTCCTCACCTATAACAGTGTGGACCTGGCACCATGCCTGCTGCAGGTTACCTTACACTAAGCACTTGCATCTTCCTCCCTGTGGGGCTGGGGCTGCCCATCGCGTGGCTACCCTGTGCTTTCAAAGTACCTTCCACCGCGAATGTTGTGCCCGTGGTGAGGGCTAATGCCCACAATGGGCCAACCCTTGTATTGGGCATCGTCTCTTGTTCTTGTGCAGGAGTATCCTACGGTGTGTGTGTTGGGGAAGGAAGGTCTGCTGTCTGGTTCTGCTCTTTCAGGCTCAGTGGATAGATGTGGGCCTGTGGACTGAAGGGGCCCTGGTTTGATTCCCGTCAAGGGCACATGCCTGGGCTGTAGGCTTGCTCCCCCGTAGGGGGGCGTGCAGGAGGCAGCCGATCAATGATGCTTTCTCAAATCAGGCTTGGAGTACCACGTGGTACACCCCTGGGGACTTCTGATTTTCCTACCGGTGCTCCCCATCCCTCCCTCATGGGGAACCCGGGCGACGGCGGCTAGATCCCTTGATCAGGCCCCTTCTTCCTCCCACCTAGTTCCCCGGTGAGCCCGGGCTGAGAGCAACTTCCACGCTCGCCTGTTATCTGGAAGGAGCAGGGGAGACCAAGGCCTCCTTCCTGCACCTTTATCACCCCGTTGGGGGGAAAATGGGGAAGGTGACGACAAGGATTAGGAGCCTGGAGTCCGCGCGGGCTCTTACCGGCGAAGCGGATCTTCACCAGGTCCAGCGGGTGCAGCGCGAGGTTGGACAGGACGCCGCCGCTCACCCCCGCCACCAGGTTCTCGTACCGGACGTGGCGGAACACCGTGCTCCACACCGACGCCCCGGGCGCCGGCTGGTCCGGGCCCGCCGTCATCGGCTCGGGGCCTGCAGGGACCACGGCGCCGAGGGCCGCCGGGGTGGGACGAGATGCAGTGGCCGCCACCGTGGCAACGGGCACCCCCCACCGCTCCAGAAGCGGGGACAGCGGGGTGCTAGCCCACTTCCGGGACCGGCGCGCGGACTCGGACGCACGGAGCCCGGGGACCTGGCAGCCAAAGGGGCATGACAGGGGCGCAGCCGCGCGAGTCAGCGCCGCCGGGAGGGCGGAGCGCGCGGGAGGTGGGGCGTCGCCGCGGGCGAGTCCCCGCCCAGCCTCGCCCCACGGCGGCTGCCAGTCGGGGCTGAAGTGCCCGGAAACGCCCCTGCCCCGCCTCTGCCGGGAGGAGCTACGGAGCGCCGCGGGGCCCAGTCCAGGAGGCGGTGTTCGGGGGGGCGCGAGAGTCAAGTGACAGGAAGTCCGTCTGGAAGAAGCGGAAGTAGCATGTGCTCGGGGAGGGGGCGGTTCCCAGAACCCGGAAGGAGGGAAAGGCTCGTGGCGCGGGGGAGCCCCAGCAGCCAAGATGAAGGTGAAGATGCTGAGCCGGAACCCGGACAACTATGTCCGCGAAACCAAGTTGGACTTGCAGAGAGGTGAGGCGGGTTAGCCGGGAGCCCCGGGGCCCGGGTCTGGCCTCTCGCTTCCACGGAGGAGGGCTGGCGGGGGAGGGGGGACCCCGGCGCTGGGGCGGTCTCTTTCTCTCCCCGCCCCGCTTCTGCCAAAAGGTGAACTTCTTACAGATCGGGCCGTGGGACTGGGCAGCAGAGAACTCTCTCGAAGCCCCTTTTCAAAGAACGTGGGCTGTGGATGTGCGGAAGTTAGCTACCTGAAGGGTGCTCCGCTCCGCTCCTCCCCGGCCCCCTCCCCTCCAGGGCTGCTCCACGATGGTGCTCAGGTTCCAGTTGTTAATGAAAAGTGCAACCTGAAGGAGCCACAGTCGTGGATGGAAGGGTTTAACTGATTACCTGACTGCTGCTCTAACTTCCGGACACTTTGTTACTTAAAATTGCCTACGTCTGGGATGTAGGAAGAGATAGATACAGGTGAAACAAAGCCATCAGTTTTCCCTTATGAACAACTCCTGGAATTGGAAATGGTTAATGAAATTAATGAGTTTTATTTATCCGTCCTGGGCTCTTACCCCATTAACGTGCTGACTGCTTATGAATTATATTATTGCTCATGATATCTTAAGTGGCAAGGGACCAACCAAATGTCAACTGACTGTTATAAGTGAAGATACTAAGTTCAAAGTCGTTAAGGCAAAAATGAACTTAGGGGTCATGTTATCAAAGTTTGAGCAAGGGAAAAGGGTTGGAAAAAGACTGGAACAATTTCAATATTTCGATTGAATATTGAAATAGACGCTATCAGTATACATATGGGCATTGCTAAGAAGGAAATGTCTATTCACAAGATGGTTAAGGAATAAGACAGGAATGTTTCTGATATGCATTAGGTTATGTCACTTGGATTTGACATCGTCTGTATTTCTTGAACCTGGTTTCATCGTCCTCTCAAGTTTTGCCTTTCTCACAAGTGGCTTGTGCTAGTATTTACTCTTGCCAGTCTGTGTGCATTTTAGGCATCTTAATCCAGGAATGAGTGAATGAGTTATGGAATCTCAGTGTTAGGAGGTGATTAGTTATCTGATTTTGTTCAAGTTCTTATTATTTTCTACTAGAGGCCTGGTGCACCATCAGGCAGGGGAGGGACACGGGAGGTTGGCCAGTGGGGGAAGGATTGTGGGAGGGCTCCAGGGTGTGTCCGGTCCATCTCACTCAGCCCTTATTGGCTGGACCTCAGCAGCAAGCTAACCTAGAGGTCGGAGCGTCTGCCCCCTGGTGATCTGTGCACATCAGAGTGACTGGTTGACCTGTGGACTCTCTGCCCCCTGGTGGTCAGTGCACGTCAGAACGAGTGGTTGAGTGGCCTTAGCATATCATTAGGATATTATACTTTGATTGGTTGAATGGACTACCAGGTACTAAGCATATTAGGCTTTTATTATATACAGTATATTTCCCTTTTTTTTTTTAATATTTTAAGATGAAATGTTAACAGCAGAATGGAAAAATAAATGTATTGGAGCTCTATAAAATATAAGGAAGACATTTGTTACCTCTTTATCCTGTCATTCTTGTTTAACTGTTATTTCCTTGCAAATTTTGTGCAGTATCCTATCCTTATTTGAGTATTTTTATTCATTGACCTGGAGTGGGCATCAGAGATTTTACTATTTTTAAAACGCCGATGGTTATTCTGATACATAATAGTTGGTTAAAATACAGATGTCTGAGAAAAACTTAAATATATGCCATGTTTGTTAGTTATGATATTCTCGGTGCTTACAACATATGGCAGATGTTCCATATATATTTATTGACTATTTGAGTAGCACTTTAAGTTTTGGCACTCTTCATCTTCGAATGTGGAAGATGGAATACGTAAGAATGACTGATCTTTAAGCTTGATTGAATGTTGGGTACAGTACTGGTGATGTAAGAAAGTTCCACATCAGTAGAGAATTTTTATAAGAATTTATTTGAGCCAATCTGACAATTGCCAGAAAGCAACATTTCAAATGCTCCAGAGAATGACAGTTTTGCAGTTTCTTTTATGAGTTTGAACAAGATTTTGTGCTCTCTTGATGTTAGCTTATGCTCATTTCAAAGGTTTGTTAACCTAGATGCACAGAAACAATGGAATGGGCTTGCTTAAGGCAGAGATGAACCTTTTACTAAAGAAGTCATGTGTGGGGTGTGACTACACACCATCACCTGTCCATTTGGGAATATATGACCAGGTCACCCTGTGGGTTTATCTTGTGTAGAATCTTTTTTTTAAATCCACAAACCGTTATTATCAGGAAGTCAAAAAGAAGTGACAGCAGCGTTGGCCAGTGTGGCGCAGTAGGTCGGAACATTGACCCATGCACCAAAAGGTTCAATTCCTGGTCAGGGCACATAACCACATTGCAGGTTTGATCCCTGGTGTGGTCACATGTGGGAGGCAACTGATTGATGTTTCTCACATCTCTCTCTCTCTCTTTCTGTCTTCTTTCCTTCACCTCCTCCCTTCCTCCCTCAGTCCCTCCCCCTCCCAAAGACACATTCACTTTTAGACACTGAGGGTTTGTTTGGACATGTAGGCTTCAAATGCTTTCCTAAGCATAATTATTAACTGAAACAGTTGCTTGGCAGCATAGCATAATAGTTAAGAACATTGATTCTGGAGCCAGACTTCCTTGGTTTGAATCCTGACTCCGTCACTTCACAGGCAACTTACCTCTCTGTGCCTCAGTTTCTCTGTCTGTGAAGTGGGAAATAGTAATAGGACTTAAGCCATAGTGTGTTGTGGAGATTAAATGAGTTAATGTAAGGTATTTGCAACAGTGCCTGACATATGGTAAACAGATATGGAAAGTGCTCAATAAATTGCTATAATCAAAATCACAGCAGTGAATGCCTGACACTACAGTGATTAACACTGGAAATCAATAATGTTCTCTGCCCCATCAGTTGCTTAGCATTCAGTCAAGCAAAACATTTATTTATTTATCAAACAATTAAGACTGTCAGTTTTTTTTTCTTCTTTTTTTTAATATATTTTATTGATTTTATACAGAAAGGAAGGGAGAGAGATAGAGAGATAGAAACATCGATGAGAGAGAATCATCGATCAGCTGCCTCCTGCACACCCCCTACTGGGGACATGCCCGCAACCAAGGTACATGCCCTTGACCGGAATCGAACCCGGGTCCCTTCAGTCCCCAAGCCGATGCTCTATCCTTTGAGCCAAACCGGTCTCAGCAAATCGGGCAAACATTTATCATGCACTTGTTTTGTGCATATAAGTGAAGAGTACAAATGAAGCTGTAGTGGAAGCCTGCCCCTGAAAACTTACACCGGCTGAAGGTGTAGTAGGACGTATAAAAGGGAAAGCTGTGTGTGTGTGTGGGGGGGGGGGCGTAATTATTTTGCAAAATAAATGTATCCCATGATCTTTTGGCAGTTTTGGAAAGGTTTCTGGACAAAAGATCTTCCACTTTTGTATTCTTCACAGTGCCAGGCATGGTACAGTGTCCCTAACAATGGCTTTATTTCATCACAAATGGAACGATTAGCTGAGGGAGACCGCGGACATATTAAATGTGATTTGTTTTATTAAGAGGAGTCATTCTTATTTCAGTTCCAAGAAACTATGATCCTACCTTACATCCTTTTGAGGTCCCGCGAGAATACGTAAGAGCCTTAAATGCTACCAAACTGGAACGGGTATTTGCAAAACCATTCCTTGCTTCTCTGGATGGTCACCGAGACGGAGTCAATTGCTTGGCAAAGCATCCAAAGAGCCTGGCCACTGTCCTTTCTGGGGCGTGCGATGGAGAGGCAAGTGTCACTTTACACGTCGATATTTTAAGCTAAAAATAATTAATGTTATGCATTTCTTCCTGTAGTTTTGAGATACCGTGAGTTTTCATTGGTTTTATTTCATTTTTATATATTTTGTTTTCATTCTCAAGAATGAATTAATAATTTCAGCCATTTTTTAAAAAAATCTAAACCCAAGAAATTAAAAATGTAGTAGGTTAAGGTTTAATTTCATAGTAAATGATGAAACATGTTTATAATAAAGATATTTCAGTGTGAGTTTTATTAATAACAGGATGTTATTAATGACTCAACACTTACTTTCCACTCTGGTAAAGAAAGCTTGGAAACACTTAAAACTGGAATCAACGGAGTATTTAGCAGATGGAATGTTCAGCCTGGCCATGTACTTATCATTATTTATTGCATTATTACAATCCAGGGGATTTTGTTTTTAGCTGTCTGGTAGAGTGATTCATAGCTTTTTTCAGTGTTGAATTTAATTTATCTTTTCTTGGAAAATTGTCCTGTGCCAGAACATTTTATTAAAATTACAGTTTATTAAAATTTCCTGATGTACTTTATCATAGGTCAGAATTTGGAACTTGACCAAACGAAACTGTATCCGTACGATACAGGCACATGAAGGTTTTGTACGAGGAATATGTACTCGTTTTTGTGGCAGTTCTTTTTTTACTGTAAGTATAATACAATTGCGTTATTAACTCTTTTCGATGTGTATAAGACTGATCTGAGTATTTTCTAAATTCATGTATTTCTTCCAAGGTTCTTTTGGAGTTTCACAATGCAAAATAACTTACTAAAACCTTGAAAAGTACTAGTTTTCTTTATGTAATGCAGCCTTCCCAAAGCTTTTAATTTTTTAATAAATTACTTAATATAATAGTGAACTAATTTCCTATAGGACACTGAGAAGTAGGATTAATGCAGAGTGAAGCTAGAAAGGTAGTATTTTATTCTGGAGGATTTTCAGTGCTAGGGATGAGTAAGTTGTATTGTGTCAGTCGAAAAGCATTGAAGAAATAAATCATTGTATATGAGAGGTGTTAAGAAATACATAGCATGAAAAAAAAAGAAATACATAGCATAAAGTTTACCATTGTAACCATTTTAAGTGTACATTTCAGTGGACTTCAGAATCTCACATCACTGTGCAATGATCACCACAACCCATTTCCAGAATTTTTTCACCCAAACCAGGTCATATTATACATTTAGTTTTATACCTTGTTTCACCTAATATCTCGAACATTATCTGCCACACACCCAAAGCTAAGTTACCTTAGTTTCTTGTCTTGGTTTAGGCTAAGGTGCCACCATTTCTACTATCAATCCTTCTTTACCATCTGTATATCTAAAAGCACAATGATAAAGCAAATGATGACTTAACTAATATTATGAAAATAGTTTGACCTAGTGGATCTCTGAAAAATTCTCAGGATCCTTCAGTAGTCTGTAGTCCAATTTGAAAACCATCAACGCAATAGTTTCTGGAGTTTTGTGTCAGGCATAGAAGGACTTTATTCATGCCAAGATCACAAAATTGTCTTCTCAAGGTTTTTATATGTTTTCATTTTTCACATTTAAAAGTATATTAGAATTGGCTAGCAGTTGAGTGTCGACCCATGAACCAGAAGTCATCGGATTGATTCCTGCTCAGGGCATATGCCCAGGTTGTGGGCTGGAGGCAGCCGATACATGTTTCTCTCTCATCGATGTTTCTATCTCTCTCCCTTCCTTCCTCTCTAAAAATAAATAAAAACATAATTTAAAATTAACATATAATAAATAAAGGATGTGGAATTTTCTTTGTATATCAGGCATCAGATTAGTTTAAATTTTTAAATGGTCACCCTGATATCTAATGTCATTTTATTAGAATCTATTTTTCTCTCTTATTTTGCAGTGCCATCCTATTGCAATATTGTTCAATCTTGCAATTATATGTGACCTAATTTTGTTCCTACTCATGCTATTTTATTTTTACTCTATGTGCTATTTGTGTTTGTTACAAATCTTTATTTAGGGTAACAACGTGAGATATAAATGCATCAGTAATTACAATAGTGTCCAAATATCGTATGTGTTATTTTTAAAACTGGAGATGTTTATAGTTTGATGTATATGTGGGCAAGTTTAAAAGTTATAAATGTTCGTTATCCTCACCATAATAAATATTTTTTAGGTTGGTGATGACAAAACTGTGAAGCAGTGGAAAATGGATGGACCAGGCGTCGGAGAAGAGGAAGAGCCGTTGCATACAATATTAGGAAAGGTACAAAAATAAGTTGACCCATTCTTTGTCTATTAAAATTCTTCCTTTTTCAAATTACTTCATGATTTTAATTTCCAAAAAAGATGTAAATAAGAAATCAAAGACTTTAGGCTGTAATAAGTAACGTATTTGAAGCCAATATCTAACGCAGTGGCAGTCTTCTGCAGTGAGAGCATGAACAGTTCTTCAGTGTTCATTGTAGTTCACTGAGAGGGGAGCGGGGCCTAAGCTGGCAGGTGGACATCCCCCGAGGGTCCTGGACTGGGAGAGGGTGCAGGCCGGGCTAAGGGACTAACTTTCCCCCCACCCTGCCCCCTAGTGCACTACTGTCGTGCACTGGGCCTCTAGTTGTTAGCGATGCCTGAAACAAAATTGGTTTCCTAGAGGCTTTTCCTCTTGAAATTCCAAAAGATTTTTGAAGTATTTAGTCTTACTCCTACCCCTGTGATATGGTCAATTAATTCTAAAATTGTGGGCAAGTGTGTAGGCCTTGCTTTCACGAATAGAAAATAATGAGAAATCTTCAGATGCTGCTAAGAGTTCGTAAAAGCTTAAAGTATTGGCTAAATATTTCCCTCTAATTTGCTTTCAAACAGTTTCTGCCATGAAGTACAAAGACACAATTTAATCTGGACCTGAGTAGATTAATCACATATTTTCAGTAGATAATATCAAATTTATGAGGTATTGGCTTTTAACAATATTAGTACCCACCCTCACTGATTTTATTTTTCTCTCTAAATTTTAACCTGTTTATTGGTATCAGTGTTTCTGTCCTAGGAGTCAGTACTTTATGTAGAATGAAGATTTTTAGAAGTTACTTTTGTATTTCATTATTTCCTTCAATACCCAATGATGATTTTAAAATATCCAATGCTTCAGTGGTATGTTTTCAAACTTAACTAAATGCATCTCATGTTAACTTTTTTCTTTATTCCCAGAATGTGTGATAAAGACACATCACTCCTTATGTACTGTTTTCTCCTTTAAGTAAGGGCCTCAAAAAAAGTTTCTTTGTGAACAGGGATTTTTCTGGAGAAAAAAAAAAAAAAAAAAGGTTAGATAAATATATTTTAAAAATTATTCTGTAGACACGACCTACCTGTAACAATCTCTTTGCTTTTAAAGACAGTGTACACAGGAATTGACCATCACTGGAAAGAAGGAATTTTTGCCACATGTGGACAGCAAGTAGACATTTGGGATGAACAGAAAACAAGTCCTATATGTTCAATGACCTGGGGATATGACAGTATCAGTAGTGTTAAATTTAACCCAATTGAGGTAATGTTTCTTTTTTAAAATATTTTTTGCTTATTGTTTCCTTATTAATAATTTCAGCTCTTTGTAGGAAACATGTAATAGAATATTTTTCTGAGTTGGATTTTATTTCTGGCATTTGGTCATTTTTCCAGATTATATCTGTGTTTGGACACCTTTGATTAGATCTCAACATACTCGCCTGCAGTTTAGTCCCAGATAACAGTGTTTAGCATCACTAGAGGAGGGTGTGTGCATGGGGTTCAAATTCAAGCAAGTGCTGTACTGTGACAATTCAGTTTTCTTAGACCTGCAACACTCATCTACCACAGACTACATCATGTACCTTTAGGAAAATGTTAATTATTTTATTTTATTTTATTTTATTGCTTTGTTTTGTTTTGTTTTGTTTTGTTTTGTTTTGTGGTTAGACAATCATATATTTTAGAGTGGTCCCCTGATATTCCAAGTAATACCCCCCTCCTCCCCCAGCCTGTGCATAGCTATTACAAAATATGTACACTCTCAGAGACCCACTGTTGGCAAAAGGCGGGTAGAAAGGCCATGTCAGATTAGCAAGGCCTAGAAATTGTTTGAGACACTGCCCTGTGATGTGAGCTTGGCCTTGTGGCACTGCTGAGAAGTCAGTCATAGACCCTCTTCCTGCCCAGGACGTACCTACTGCCAACGTGCCGAGGCACCTGCCTTTGACCTTGTACCACCCAGAGTTTTTCCCTACAGTGTGTATTTTTAAAATAAGATTAATTATATATCTTCCAGTGTACTTCACAGATTTGTTGTCAATGTAAAATGTGATAACGTATGTGAATATTTTTAAGAGGTGCTATCCAAGTTTCAGATGGTGATGTTATTACTTTTTTTTTTTTTTTTTTTTTAAAGGAACAGACAGGTATTGGTTGTCTGAGGGAAGATCTTTTGCTTCTGTGTTTTGGTGAACATCGGTGTCAGAAGAACTGATGGGCACTTCTAAAATTATAATTATTAGACATGACCTACGACCATGGCCATGTTTTTCAAATTTGTCTCTGTAACACTGTTCGACTGTGTGGGTTTTTTTTTTTTTTTTTTTTAATCTCATGAACTGACCTAGTGGTAAAAGCAGATGATGTGCCTGCTTCTTATCCTGTATTAAACTTAATGGAAAGGGCATGTTGCTGTGAACAAATGGAGTGTATTTGTCTCCTCCAGTTACTAACAAATTCTCAGTTAAAATATGGAAGCCTAGAATTCTACTAAAGCCAAACGTTTATACTAAGCATTACCCCGTTTTACAGTGTGAAAGTCAGTGTTCAGTCCAGGTAGAATTTCTGCTCAGCTCAGATCAAAGTCTTCATATTTACCAGTGAACCTGGTCAGACATTGAGATGACATAAAAAGACACCAAGCAAGGTTGAGAGGAGTCACTAACCAGGAGAAAGCCTCAGAGAGGGAGTGATTTAAAAGGAGTGTTTTGGAGGTCATAATGTGTTTAATTTGAACTTTGTACACACATGCAGTAGGAGCTGGCCCTGCAGATATTTAGTAACTAAGTCCTGTTCTTCTTAACACTTGCTCTGTGAAGCATTAGTAGGCAGAAGCCAGGAGTGCTTAGTGTCAGGAACCCTGAGTGAGAGGGAATGGTGCTTCAAAGGGTGGGGTCACGGCTCCATTGGTAGCTAAAGGGCTTATTTTCACCAAATGCCAAGGGTTGTGTAAGTACCTTGCACATTTATAACTGACTTAAAAGTGAATATTTGAAACACCGTGAAACAGTTAAACCAAGGATAGGCCTAATTTATACAGAGGACATGTTTAACTAAAGTAATAATTTATATAATTAGAAAATAGTGTCATGCAGCAATTAACTCTTAAATGACACTGCTTAATGCTGCAGTTACAGTGACATTGACATATTTCCACATTGAAGTGTTTATTGGTACAACTCTCTGAAAAGCGATTAGTCATCATTTTTTTATGCTTTTTTTTTTTAATTTCTTTTAGTGCTTTTTGATTCAGTAATATCTCTACTGAAATTTTATCCTTAGAAAAGCTAAGGGTCACTTATAATACTGAAAAATAGAAACAGGTCTAAGTTGAATCATGGATAAGTAAAATATCTTCTGTTATAAAACAGAATACAGAATTATCGGTATGTTATCACTGGCATCTAAAATGTATACATGGATTTTTACAATGAAAATATTTAGGTTGCTGAGATTATGAGTGATTCATCATATCCTCTTGAAATGGACTTTAATGTTTTAACTTTGTATCCCAAACATAAACATTAAGTGTAATTGAATGGTTTGTTCACTGAATGGACATGGTTTGCTGCCAGCCTGGCTTTTAACTGGTGATTGTTGTACTTATTTTTAGACATTTCTCTTGGGAAGTTGTGCTTCTGACAGGAATATCGTACTATATGATATGAGGCAAGCTACTCCTCTGAAAAAGGTAAGTTTCAGCTTGTCTTTGGCTTTATACAATTGTCAATGCGTTCCTTGGTAAATTGACAAAATTAGGAGCAAATGTTTCTTCAGTGTTAAAAAAAAAAAAATTCTTTCTCATTGAGATGTTATTAGAACCTAAAGTGGCATTCTCTCAGCTCCCTGTTACTTTTTAGAGACCCTTATTTCCTATAGGGACTGAAACCTAGTTGTCTTTGTGTCTTCCATAATACCAATAAATTTTAGGCATCTAATTATACTTATTAAGTTGAAAGTTCTTTAACTAAAGTATTGCATCTCTTTATTTCAGGCCCCATGATTACCATACGACACATGCAATATTTTATTTCAAAAAGTTTTATAATGAATTTACATAATCAGCTTTATTTGTTTAGTTGCAGGCTGACAGGTACTAGTTTGGCATTTTATTTAGGCAAACATTATCCTGTTCAAGGTGACAGATTTCCCAACGGTGCTAAGTACTAGTAGTCATTCCAGGAGTTAGATATGAAAGCTAACTCAAAAGGGAGAGAAATATTGTCAGTAAAGAGAAGAGTGCCAATATAAGAATTGTGAGCATATAGGAAGGGATAGATACATCATTGATGTATCTTGAGTACATTGTCATAGTCCACAGGTAGAAGAAATGCTTTTAATATTTTTGTTGTTCCTCAGTCATTTTTATAACATCTAGTAAATGTCAAAATATCAAAAGTAGAGTATATTCATTGACGTTTGAACTTGATAAGTGTGGTAACCTTTCCAAACTACCACCTTAATCATTTCACTCATTCGTGTCATGTAGAGGGAAGATCCTACATGAACTTAGTTTTTAGATTTTAAACAGTAACTTCATCTGTGCTTCTTCTGTAATTTGGTGATATTAATGACAACACAGCACATTGGTGAGAATAAAACATGATACTTTAGCAGTTAGCAGAAGGCTAACTTGAAGTACTAGTTAAATAACTAGTTAGTTTCTGCCCCCTCTGCCCTTGTATTCTCAATGTTTGGATAGTGTTCTATTACTTTTAGGTTTAAGACAAGAGCTGTAGCCTGGCTTTCAAAACTGTCCAAAATCTGGTCCCAGTATGTATGCCATTTATGTATTTATTTCAGTTAGTATAAGGTCATATAAATAGGGCTTGTCACATGCAGGTCACCTTGATGAATGCAGAGATGCTATTTTCTATTGTTTATTTGTTCTATCTACTAGACTCCCAGTATTTCTTTCATCTTTTCTCTCCTAAATGTATAGTTTTCTTTTTCTTTTTCTTTTTTTATAATATATTTTATTGATTTTTTACAGAGAGGAAGAGATAGAGATAGAGAGTTAGAAACATCGATGAGAGAGAATTATCAATCAGCTGCCTCTTGCACACCTCCCACTTGGGATGTGCCCACAACCAAGGTACATGCCCTTGACCGGAATCGAACCTGGGACCTTTGAGTCCGCAGGCCGACTCTCTATCCACTGAGCCAAACCAGATTCAGCTGAATGTATAGTTTTCAATCAGATGGTATTCCCTCACCAGGTGTTTTTTTGGAAATGTGGGAGGAGCATTTTAGAGACTGCTAATGGCATTTAGTAGGCAGGTAAACATCCTACAGTGGGCAGTCACACACAGCATAGGATTTTCCTGCCCAACACGTTCCTGTTGACAAGCTCTGTAATAACTCTTCTTCACAGGATAGTTTTAATCACGTCTCATTTTCGTGATTAAAATGTAAGTTATTTGAGGTCGAGAGACTATTAAACGTTTGTATATTTTTAATATTTGCAACTTTGCCTGTGTGTTCACGAAGCAATTACTGGTTGATTTCTTTTTCTATTGAACCAAGTTGAGTACTTACATAATAGGTATTTACTAATTAATGTAAATATTTGCTTAAATTCATGAAAAAGGGGAAGGAGATGAAATTGGGACATGTACTGGTATTCATTTTGGAGGGAATTGATTTCATAGTCATAGGTTATTTTCCGCCTCCTTTCCCAGGTCATCTTAGATATGAGAACAAATACAATTTGTTGGAACCCAATGGAAGCCTTCATTTTTACTGCAGCAAATGAAGATTACAAGTAAGTTTTCCTTTTTTAAAAACTTACTTATTTCTATCAGAAGTGGCTCATTTGTATGTCTTACTAATAAGATATCTTTTCTACATAGTATTCCTCTATATATGTTAGAAAACTGTCATTTGTTTTGCTAATATATGTATTTATTTACTTTAAATACAAATATATATGTATTTATTTGTTTTGCTAATATATGTATTTATTTATATTTATATATTTCCCAAACTTCAAGCATTTCACATTGGCTCTCTTATTGTATCTCTGTAAAGTGGGTAGAACATGTATGTAGTGCTATGCATATGGTAGATTCTGTGTGTGTGTGTGTATGACGAGTTTGCAAGCTCATCATTGGGCTGAACTTTAGATCTTCTGCATTTAAATTCTTTGTTCTTTCCACTAGTTGTGAAAGCTGAGAAGTAGGAATTATTACTTGATGTTTCACTGGTACCAACTAAAAACATGTATTTTGACTTTCTGTACTAAAAAGAAGCTCACTTGGACTCTCACTAACTAGCAATACCAAACCAAATTAAGTGAAGCCCTTTTGGCTTTTATTGACATTTTGAAATTAAATGGCCTAGTTTTAGTTAAAGACAATGAAAGCATGCCCTGTGGACCCAACTTTATTAAGGTTTCTAAACTGTTCTAATTGGCTATTTTGGCAAGATGAGTACAGAATACAAAACTGTAGTATTCTTAGGGCATTGGACCAGTGTTACATGATGTCAGTATTTCTTAGTACTGGTGACGTTTATCTTGATCACTTAGTTAAAATGGTATCTGCTAGATTTCTCCACTATAAAGTTATTCTTTTTTCATTTTGTAATTAATATATATCTTCGGAGAGATAACTTTGAGGACATAATTATGTAGCTATCCTATTTCTCCTCAAACTTTTGCTCACTAATCTTAGCATCTTAAAGTGTTTTGATATTAGGAACTTGGTCACAGTGACAATGTGTGACTATTGTCCATTATACATAGTGGCTCATTTGAAGTACTCATTATTCTTTTAGCTAGTCATTAAGAATTTTTAAACTTAGACAGTCATGGAGATATTATTTTTACCAGTTTTGCACAGAGTATAGTTTTCTAATTTTAGTATTCTCTTTGAAAAGCTGTGCTCACTCATATATATCACTGATTGGAGAATAAATTGGTGCAACTTTGTTATAAATATGTCATCTCAAAAGCCTTAAAAATGTTTATGCCTTTGGACTTAATAATCCTACGTGCAGGAATTAGTCCAGATTTAATTGCAATAATCTCATTTAATCAAAGATTAAGTCTCAAAATTCAAATATTAGAATTTCATTTAAGAATTATTAATAAATGAATTTAAACAAATTATAAATTATTTTAATTTTAAATAGGCAACCATTAAATTATTTTCAAAGATTGCTTAATAGATAAATGCTTATAATATGCTACATGAAATATCAGAATACAGAACTTTATTATTATCTCAATTGTATTAAAAGTATATATTTAATTTGCATGGTGGAAAGATCAGAAATATACCGTGCTGACTTTCTTGGATAGAATTAAAGGTGAGTTTTGTACTCTGTACTTCTTTGAGATTTCCACATTTTCTACAAGATACATGTTTATAAGGAAAAAAGTATTTTAAGTGTAATCTTAAGAAATAATAAAAACTGGTATTTTTTCTCTAGGCCTTCCCTGCTGTGTCAAGAATTGAGCTGTTTATTTAGATGTGCCTTATTTAGCTAGAAGTCTTACTTTCACTAGTGTCTCTGAGTTCTGCATCTGCTGCTTTATAAAACTTAGTATCAAATAATTAAAATCCTTTTTACAGCTTATATACCTTTGATATGCGTGCACTGGACACTCCTGTGATGGTGCACATGGATCACGTGTCTGCGGTGCTGGACGTGGATTACTCTCCTACTGGGAAGGAGTTTGTGTCCGCTAGCTTTGATAAATCCATTCGAATCTTTCCTGTGGACAAAAGCAGAAGCAGGTATGTTGCCACCAATAAGCCACCTATTTTTATCTTATTTTTCCTTTTTTTTTTTTTTTAGAAGTAAACTTATGGTTTATGTACATGTCCATTCAAAGAGCTAAAAACCTATCTGTTAAAAACAGTGTAAAAGACTAGTTTTGTGCGTGTACTTCAGGGATACCTTTATAGATGTGAACTCTGTTTGATTCGGTCATCGTGTATATGTTTTCTCTTACTGGGCAGTTTGCTGAGCTTATTTCTTTCCGCTCAAGTAGTCTGCATTTTGAATAATTTTTAATCCCGATGTGCAAAATTTATTTCTCCAGAAGCCACATCTCTTTATTTTTTCTGATCTTGTCTTTTGCTTTTTAATGCTCCTCTTCACGCTTCCCAATATAGTTAGTATCTTCTGTGAATTCACTTAGCGGGTTTCACAGCCTTTCCACATAGGTATGATATTTGACAGCTCGGTTTATCAAATTATTCTTACCTCCACTCATCAGATACTTCTATAGCCCTGTCTTTTCACACATGTCAAGTCAACTCTCACTTCAGTTAATTAAGCTTTTTAAACCATTTGACCAAAACATAAATCAGATATTAAGATCAACATAGCAGATGTGTTCTTTGAATCCATTGCATTTATTTTATTTTCCTGAAAGATAAAAAAAATAAAAGTATGGTGATCGAACAGAATTGATTTGGAGGGTGGGTGGAGGCTTTTTAAACAACAATCCAGTCCACTTCTTATTATAAAAACATTTTCAGCTTTAACATATTTTATTTGTGTTATATGCCTTTCATTATTTTGTAAACTTTTCTGGGCATCTAGTTTTACCTAGTTTGTTTATATTTTTCTTATTGCATGTAACTTCTTGAAGACAGGGAAATTTTTCAGTTCCCCAGCACTTAGCATAGAATCTTGTTTGGTTCAAATGAATGTGAATTTCTCTTATCGTAGGACTCAAAAATGGTTTTCTGATACTTGCTAGGCAGCGGTTCAAGAAAATCTGTACCAAAATCCTGGGGGTTTTAACTTAATTCCTCTTCTGCAGGGAAGTCTATCACACAAAGAGAATGCAGCATGTGATCTGTGTGAAATGGACTTCTGACAGCAAGTACATCATGTGTGGATCTGATGAGATGAACATTCGTCTGTGGAAAGCTAATGCTTCGGAAAAACTGGGCGTGGTAAGAGAGCCCATTCTCTTTCATTGTCAAGTGACGCTAACTTCTAATTTAATTGGGTACCATGTTGTTACGAGAATTTATTTAAAATGCTATAGGTATTTTGATCAAATTGGCATGATGGTAATAAAAAGAAACGCTGTCACTAACACGGACAAGGCTGTATAGAGATTTGCTTTTTTTCATGTCAGAGGCATCTTCTGAGGCCTTTGGCAATTCAGGTGTTTGATAATGTTTGAGCCTTCTTGGTTCTTTGTGTTTCCCTTGAGGTAGGGAGAGAAGATTTAGGAACTGGAAGCTTACAACTTAGAACATCTATTTATTCTGATACTTGGCAGATTGAAGGCTGCAGGTCTCTTTGAGGTCTTTTAACATTAAAGACAGTGAAACACATAACTTTAAAAAAATACAGAAAGCTTCAGACTTTAAAAAAAATTCAATGAAAAATACAACAAATATCGTTGGCTAGATACCTCTGGGTTATGGAGTTATGGGTATTTTTGTTTTGTTTTTGATGTTTTCTAAATGTCTCATGTTTTATCTAAGAAACACACAGAGTATTTTTATCAGAAACATATTAAGTTTAAGAAGGAAAGGTTAAGGGCGAGTTATTTTCTGTATGGCCCTAGTAGGAAAATTACAAGATGATAAGCAATAATTAAAGACAATTCTATTTTAGGTTTAATGATTGCTGAGTATTATACTCTAGATTTCAATTCATTGTTAAGTGTTCCTCTAAATCTTACCATCCTTAATATTGTTAAACAAAGACTAGTTATCACAGAATCAAACACTTATTCCTTTCTGTTCGGTAGTTGTTTCTACAGGAAAAAAACACCTGCGTGATTAATGTAAGTGGTTCTTTGTATGTCTAGCTCAGGGGTCCACATAACCCTGACCCCTCAGCACTGCCATTTTCCATTTGGTGGCATTTGTCTCCATTGTAGGCATGCAGCCTAAAAGCAAATTCAGTGCTCTCGGAGCTGGTACTATAACATAACCTTCAATGGCAGTTTTGGCTGATTATCACAAAAGAGTAGTTTTGGGGGAAATTTTTTGGGTCTCCTCCCCTTCCCCCAAGCTTTGTTATACTGAAGCAAAAACAACACATCATTTATTAAAATATCAAAATGCATTGTTTTTTCAGCTTACATCACGAGAAAAAGCAGCCAAAGATTATAACGAGAAGTTGAAGGAGAAATTTCGATATCATCCTCATATAAAACGTATCGCTCGCCACCGCCATCTACCAAAACCGATCTACAGCCAGATCCAAGAACAGCGCGTCATGAAAGAAGCTCGCCGGCGGAAGTATGTTCTGGGGCCTTTGGCTTTTTCTAATTCACCTGCCATTCCCCCCAATAGTGTGAAAAACAGAAACCTGCTTTTCAAGGCACTAGTTCATGTGCATTAGAAATATTCTTTGATTTTTTTTCTTTCTTTCTTTCTTTTTTTTTTTTTTTTAAACGAGAGGAGGAGAGAGGGATGGAGAGATAGAAACGTCGATGAGAGAGAAACATCAACCAGCTGCCTCTTGCACACCCCCTACCAGGGATGTGTCTGCAACCAATGTACATGCCCTTGACTGGAATCGAACCTGGGACTTTTCAGTCTGCAGACCGACGCTCTACCACTGAGCCAAACCGGTTTAGGCCTTTGACTTTTTTTCTAATAAAAGGGGGAGCAACAATCATATAAGAGTGTGAGAATTTCTAATACCTGTTTTTGAGAATATGTTTAAAGGGCAGACAATGAAAATGACTTTTGTCAAAATAAGAAAATACTTCTGTTCATGCTAGACGATGGTTATAAAGAGACAGTGTCTTCAAAAATGATTTCTAATGTGGCTAGTATTAAGAGAGATTATCTATTTTCAAAGATAAAGAATGCCAAGAACTCACAGTGCACATTTCATAAATAAAAATTTTTTCTAAAATGCTTCATCATAACCTCTGGAATCTAACTTTTTTACTCTAACGCAGAACTCATCACTATTCCCCGGGGAATATTCTTGTCTTTGCAGTTCTTGAATTCATTCAAAGTATTATAGAAATTCTAAAATGGAGCTTTTTTTTTTTTTTTTTAAGTATTAAAAAGATTATTTTTCTGTCTTAGGGTAGATACTGGGCTTGAGTTTAAGTATTTTGACAATTCTGCACATTTTTTAACTTTTAAAGGACACTGATTGGTAATTAAAAAAATAGCAAGTCATTAGGATAACAAAAGTTTATTTTTTAGCTATTTTTTACCTAATCCATGGTTAACTTTTCTTTTTCATTAAGTGGTTTTCCAGTGAAAGAAAATGTTTTGTGATTTTTCTGAGAAATTTCTGTTTAAGTTTCTCATAAACTTGCTTATATTTTATATGTTTTGTCTTATTTTCAGGGAAGTGAATCGCCTCAAGCATAGCAAGCCTGGATCCGTGCCGATTGTGTCAGAGAAGAAGAAGCACGTAGTGGCAGTTGTGAAATAATACTTGGTATTCCTGCCAATACTGGCTTATGATTATTTATTACATTTTGATTTGTAAACTCAACAGATAAAAATACAGTTAACCCTTGAACAACGTGGGTTAGAACTGGCTGGATCCACTTACATGCAGATATTTTTTTCAACAAAGGTACAGTTGTTTCTTCATATTCCCGGGCTGTACATCCATGCATTCAACCAGCCTTAGATCAAAACGGAATTTTCTACTTGAGATTGGGAATCTGAATGTGGAGAGCTGATCCAGAGTTATCTGTGGACTGCTCATGGGTTCAGCACCCCAACCCCTGCGTTGTTCAAGGGGCCAGTTGTACTAGTTCTAGTATAACAGATGGTTTGGTTATATTTCTAGAGCTTTATCATTGCTCATTTTAGCGACCCTGAAAAATTACCTGTCCAAGGTGGCCTGGTTGATAAAACTATGCAACATTTGATCCTTGATCTGCTTCCTTATTTCCTGGAAGAATACAGAGTATTTGCAAACAAACTTAATATTTTTTCTGTTAGAAATTGCATATGTAAATTTACACTCTGATCTATTATTATAGACATTGTGCATTTAAATTTACATTTAAGACCAAACATCTCCCGTATTACTTTGAATAATTATTGCAACATTTCTTGCTAGGATTTTGCATAACATGTAGAAGAATTATGTCAGTACATTTTTCAATTTAATTTATTTTCTGTACTTTATATTTGGCTTTTGAAGCTTTCAAGATCAGCCTGCATTTATGTAACTTTCATAAATGATGATAATTATAATTATAATTATGGTTAAGTCACAATAATAAAACATCCTTTTTCTCAGAATTGTAACTTTGATCTATTCCTGCTAAATTATTTCTCTTTAGTCTCACTAAGACATCAATAGTTCCGTGTGACATAGGTTGGGTTTTTGTGTTTTTAAACCATCAGCTTAGTAAACTCTATTATATATATAATTTTTAGGAATTTTTTAAGTGAAGACATTAAAAAATCCAAAGGGAAAATGTTGTTTAAGGATACATATATTACTATATATAATAAATATGAAGGGATGCACAGGGATGTAAAGATCAAAATGTGGAGAGTAGGAGGAGGATGCAGTTAGGGTGGGACACACTTTGCAAAGTCCTTTCTCCTAGGGACTGAGCCACTTCTTCACTCAGTGGTCCCACATAGGAAAATTGGCCCCGGTCTGGTAACTGAGCATGGGAGTATGCCTTTTTATTATTTATTTTATTTTCTGTTAACCCTCACCTGAGGGTATTTTTTTCCATTGGTTTTTAGAGTGGAAGGGAGGGAGAGAGGAGAGAAAGAGAGATTATTGTGAAAGAGACACATTGATTAGTTGCCTCCCACATGCACCCCCCCCCCCCCTCCTGGGGCTGGGGATTGAGCCTGCAACCCAGCTATGTGCCCTTGACTGGAAATTGAGCCCATGACCCCTCAGTGCACAGGCCAGGGCTCTAACCACTGAGTTGCACCAGCCAGGGCAATTGTGCCTTTTCATTGTAACTACACTGAGACCCCTACTCCCTATTCTTGCCTTTTTTTTTTTTTTTTTTTTTTTGGAGATGTCATGGGGTATCCTCATTGGATGTCCATCTATTTTCTTTTACCTCAAGGCCACCATGCTGACTAGTTCCACAACTCCCTGAAGGCTAAGGCTCTTTTGCTGCTTCTCCAACCTCGCTGATCATCACAGCCACATGGCTTCCGCTACTGGCACGTGTTTGGGAGTGGGGAGCACTGGCATGTTCGCCTGGGATTTAAAGGGTTCAGCTCTGTGACTGCTCCCTTACCCTTAGCTCTGGCCTCCAGAGGAAAGCCAGCACTGAATTTTTGGGTGTTAGCCTTCCTCTCACTAGCATGTTCCTCTTGACCTTGGTGAATGGTGTATCTTTTAGGCTTTCGCATGGGACATAGTCTGTAGTCTTCCGGCCTGGCATAACACATCCAGCCAGCATACCATCTTCCCTCAGCTCTTCACACAGGCTGCCAGGGCAACACAGGTATGTTCCGTTTTGCTCAACATTGACCAGCACGTTCTCCAGGCTTTTGAAGAGTCACCCGAGCAGTGAATTGGGTGAGAGAAACAGACACCAAAACAGGATTAGACAAGCAAGAGATGTATTGGATCGAAACCGGTTTGGCTCAGTGGATAGAGCGTCGGCCTGCGGACTGAAAGGTCCCAGGTTAGATTCCGGTCAAGGGCATGTACCTTCCCCAGTAGGGTGTGTGCAGAAGGCAGCTGATCAATATTTCTCATCGATGTTTCTCTCTATCCTTCTCTTTTCCTTTCTGTAAAAAATCAATTAAATATATGTATATAAAAAAGAGAGAGAGAGAGAGATGTATTGGAGGGAATTGTCTGTGAAGGATAAAGAGGAGGGAGCCTTCCAGCTGTGTCGTAGGCTTGACACCCGTGACAGCAGTTTTAAGAAAGCTGTAGCCAAAGTTGCCCCTTATAGAAAACCTAAATCTACAGAGATGGGCCAGCTCATAGATGCCTTTTGTGTTCAGTCATTGGCTGGGAACAGCTGAGATAAGTGTCGTCTAGGTAGGATCCCCAGAGGTGGGTTACCGCTGGGGTTCTTAGTCAATTATGCGCCCACAGCCAATTCTCTTGAAGGAGATCTCAGTTGCATTTCTGTGGCTTCCACAGCTACTTACTCTCATACCCATTGTCATGATGATTCATTGTCTTTTTGTATTTCTGTGCAGGAAATCTCAGATCACTGAATAAGTGCTCAGATTTTTTTCTTATCCCGAATTTCATGTCAGTGAAAGTGCATGTCATTTGCAAAGTGCTATTTAAAATATTGGTCTTAAGTGATAGTGACTTTAAGTGATATTAACTTAATATTGGTCTTAGTGATATTGTCATTGAATTGGAAGTGACCATGGGAGAGAAAGGAGCCAAGCTCAACACTTAGCAGTTGGCACATAGGGGGTGCTCATTGAATGTTTGTTGATGTAAGAAAAGCCCAGACTGTGCTCCTGGTAGAATATTTACTATATATTTTCATAACTTGAATGCCTTTCTCCTAATTCCTTTTCCTCCATAAGCCTAAGAATGCAGAATATCCCTAGTTAAGACAAGTGCCTTCTTAAAATATATTGCCCTGAAATATTAATTTCACTAACGCAGGAAGCCTTGCTTGATGGCTTTAACACCTTGAACTTCCTCATGAAGAAATGTATTCCCCCAAGGATTCTTTAATCAAAACATCACAGTAGATTTGTAAAAAAGTTTTCTTAAACAATTAGGATTTATAGGGAATATAAGCCCAAATATTGAGTTTGGTAAGATGGTAATACACATTTCTCAGTATTTGTAATTTTAACTTAAAAATTCATTTGGATTTATGTCCATTTGCTGTCACAGTACATAGAATCCCAAGTATACAAGTTTCAAGCTCAAATATCATAACTAATTAACTAGAATAAATATATTTGAATCTAGTCTCAATTCTATCAGGAAGTAGGTCAGGAAATTAATTTATAAAAAGCAATCTTATTAGATTCAAGGTGAAACTTTGAATAGAATTATTCATTCTGATTTACAATTAATAAACTCAATTTCTATTGTAATGAAGAAATTTCTTTTTTTTTTTTTTTTTTTAAAAATATATTTTATTGATTTTGTACAGAGAGGAAGGGAGAGAGATAGAGAGTTAGAAACATCGATGAGAGAGAGTCATCGATCAGCTGCCTCTTGCACACCCCCTACTGGGGATGTGCCCGCAACCAAGGTACATGCCCTTGACCGGAATCGAACCCGGGACCCTTCAGTCACCAAGCCGATGCTCTATCCACTGAGCCAAACCGGTCCCGTGAAGAAATTTCTTATTCATCCATCAGGATCATTCAAATTACTATCATTCAATTTATGAGGAAAAAAGGTGAAATATTTTCTAGATGAGATAAATATCTATCTAAAAATAATTTTACTAATCATGTTTTGCTTAAATAAGGCAGAAGGAAGTAATTACTTCAAATCTGTTCATATTCCATAAAAACCAATAATGCCTATAATAGGTGACATTCTCACTGAGACTCATTATTTAAAATGGATATATTGCCGAAGCCGGTTTGGCTCAGTGGTAGAGCATCGGTCTGCGGACTGAAAGGTCCCAGGTTTGATTCCGGTCGGGGGCATGTGCATTGGTTGCGGGCACATCCCCGGTAGGGGGTGTGCAAGAGGCAGCTAGTCGATGTTTCTCTCTCATCGATGTTTCTGGCTCTCTATCTCTCTCCCTTCCTCTCTGTGAAGAATCAATAAAATAAATTAAAAAATAAAATAAAATAAAATAAAATGGATATATTAAGGTGGGTAAACCTACACCCTCACAGAGGGTTTTTAATGCAACAATGCCACACCCGAGGCAAACAGCAATCCTGACGAAGATGCCTGCTTTGTCAATTATAATAGAAATTAAGTTTATTAATTGTAAATCAGAATGAATCAAAGTTAAGGGTAGAGCAAATAACAAATACCATCCGGTATTTGTTATTTCAAGTTGGCCATTGGAGGTAACTCCTGGGCAGAGTTTCTCTGCTGCCCTAACATTTCTGAAAGCCTTGGGTGACATCCTACTCTTTTATTAAAAAAAACAAAACAAAACACTTTAGTCAATTATCATAAGTAGTGTGCATTGAGCCTTTGTTCTTTTACTGACTGCCCCGTGCCTATTTTGATGGAATCCGTGCTGTGTGATTTGGGAAAGTGATATCCAGACACTCCCTCTCCCCATTCCCTGTGGGGAAAGCCAACGGGATGCCCCTGCCCAGTGCTTTGAATCTGCCGTTAGTGAAGCTGTTATGCAGGGACAGTTTTGAATTGACACATGTTGGTGCATCCAGCAACAGCCAAGGACGGCAGTGGCGGTCACATCCACTGTGACTTCCCAGACGGACCATTCCTGCAGAGGGACTTGCTCCCTCACTTTCCCTGGCTCCTATCCGATTTCCAGACGTGGAATCCAGCCTTCTATCCAA